GTTTAACTGACTATGGAGTTAGTCGGCTGGGAACATCCCTAGTTTTAGGGTTCTTTAGAAGTCCTTTTTCTTATTACTTGAAAGCCTCCTTAAAGCGGTGGGAACTCTGAAATATGAATGACTTTGCTTTCCCTTTCATAGAGTTAATCTTGCGTCGTTAATAGTAAATTAATTGATTGATCTGTTTCCTTAGTTTGGTCATTTCACATATCAGACTGTTGTCTGTAGATTTAAATCAGAATCTGTTGACACCACAAAGCCCCTGTGCAAAATGTTTGCAGAGTTTTAGAGTCTTAAACTCATTTTTAATTCTTGAAGATGTTTTTTTTTTCAAACTTTAACTTTGTTGATCGCCTCAGAGACAAACTCAACACTTGGAGTCGCTTTGATTTCAATCATCTTGTGTATAGTCAGAGGATAAAAGATATAATGAGAGAGAGATTTTTAAAGATGTAAAAAAACAATCTATTGTAGCCGCTGTGGGAATGTGAATCTTTGCGCTTACCGAGAGAAAAAAAAAAAACCTGGTCAACCGAGAGAGAAAACTGAAAACTCCCTGAAGTGACTGTCTTCTCTCTGCTCTGATTATCTCTGTCAGTGCCGAGAGGTCCATAAGAAGAAGAAAAAAACAGAGTAAAAACAATCCTGAAACCACGCTCTCTGACTTCCTTACAAACATGAAAGCAGACAAAGGAAAGATTTCTTCGGGGTCAGGTTGATATGAGACGTTATTTCCGCTGGGCTGAGTTTGTCTTAGAAAGAGAACGAATGAGTGCTTCCTTTTCTCCTCAGTGACCGAAATTAAACGAGGAAATAACCAGTGGAAAAGGTTTCTGTTACTCTGAATACTTACTGTAAACTGGGAAAACCCGTGTGAGTTACTGGGAACAGGAAAATGAAGTCTGTTGTTGAAAGGTTGTCATCAAAATTGAATTCACATGAAATACAAAAGTTTGTTTATAAGACCTCTTGTTGATTAGCGTGTAGTATCCAGGGACTTGATGAATAAGCTCCTCTCTTTTGCGTTTTTCTGTCCTTGTGTATTAAACACATCTTTTTCTTGTCTTTGTGATTTAAATTTTGGCTGGCTGGCTGCAGAACTTTTTTTTTTTTTTCCTCTTTTGACCACAAAATAATCAGACATAAAACCCACGACAGTCGTTGAAAGTTTTCAGAGAAAGCAAGGCCAAAAAGAGCTTTCTGTTCAGTCTGAATGCATCATTGGAAAGTTTGTATTATGCACCATATTTTCAAGGGTTAGCGTAGCACGAAGGCCTGATCCTATCTGTTTTGTATAAAGAATTTTAGGTAATTGATTTTGACCTCAACGTTGGAGAATTTAAAGCCCTGTCCAGCTTCATACCGCCAAATCAAATGTAGAGGTGTCTGCAGCAAACAGCCAGGATTAACACAAATAACCTTTCATTTTAATGTCTGCAGAGCCGGCATTTAGCACAGACCGAGCTCTGATCTGACACCACCAAGAGTCGAAACACACACACACACACACCCGCACACACACACGCACGCACAGTCAGGGCATAATGAAAATGCTGACAGGAAGAATTTCTGCACCATGTTCTTTTTTTGATCTGAATAAGTGTGCTCTGAAAGGGACTAATTTCATCCACAGCCACCAGAGTTTGGGGTTTGGATTCTGACAAAATTATTAAAAAGGAGGTCGGGGATAAGAGCTGGAGAGCTGTGTGTGTGTGTGTGTGTGTGTGTGTGTGTGTGTGTGTGTGTGTGCGTGATGCTGTTGACTCTGTAATTAGGGATTTCGGAAAGCAGCCGTGCGGAAATGACTTTTTATACGTCCCTGTTTGACCCACTAACTTGGCCGCAGACAGACCACAGAGACAGAGAGAAGACATGACGTTCTGATCATTAACTCATATCACTTTTATGGATGTTTTCCAGTTTAGCTTCCTCGTGTCCATCTAAACAGTTTTACCCTATACAGCTTTATAGCTACAAATATGAAGATCAGGAGTCGATATGCCATTTGGTTCAATGTCTATCCACTCAACTGAAGCAATTCATAACCAGATAAAACGTGGAAGGAGGACCAAAAGGCTAAGTTCTACTTCTATACATTTTGCTTAATTTTGACGTTTGACGGGATTTTCTGATTGAATATTTCCCCAACCTTCCCCAACCTGTTACACGATGTTGAGAGAATCATCCCCTTTGTGTGTTTCCTGCTGAGTCAGCGCGAGCATCAACATCTGGAATTAGTCAGGCCCTCCTTAAAAGGTGCTCAGAGTTTACAGTGAGACCACAGTAGTTCAAATTAACTGAGGTTTAAACCCCACTGTGTGCAGACCGTCCTGTGTCACTTCCAGAACTAATGAATTCACCAACCACAAGCTCAGACTTCATCGTTCTCCACTCAGACAGCCGTGACTCAACGCTTCCTGCAGATGTTTCACACTAAAAGCCTTCCAGTAAACAGAGGGATTGCGTACTTTTGATTTCCTGCAAGGTTTTTTATTAATGTGAAACATCTGTGTGATAAACATTTGTCTATTATCACGGCTAAAAGTTCAACCATCAGTCTTAATGTGGAACTATCCTGCACTCCTTCAAATGGCCAGCAGAGGGCGACTCCGCTGGTGGCATTAAGGTGTTTTTAAGATTTTTAAATAGGTCTGCTCGTCAGTTGATTTACTCCCTCGGTTCTACACAGTATGATGTTCATTTAGTGGATTATGGTCCCTTTAAGAGTCACAGAGACCAGGAAGAGGGGAGGAGTGATTGACAGGTGGTTGAGGTGCAAAGCCAAGAGGCTTAAAACCCGCCTCAGCTCCAGCTCTCAGCCTGTCTTTATGTTGACTGAGGCAGCATTTCCAACATGGTGGCGGCTGCCAATGAGCCTCCGGCGCCCCCTGCAGGACGCCACTCAGGCTTCATCCATGAATATTTAAAGTCTATGGTTGCAATGTAGAATAATTCTTGTTCTGTGTTTCATTTGTTGTACTCAGATTCACTCTGAGGACTCACTTTGTCCACTTGACCAAAATGACCAGAGTGAAGGTCGGCTGCATATTAGATGCTAATCCCGCCCAGTTCTACCCTCTTGCCCATATATGGTCACCTCTTTCTCCAAAAGCTTCAGAACAGGAGTCCGCAAACCAACGGATGACAACATAGTGGTTTTAAGTAGGAGAAGTTTGAGATTTGATAAACTCTCCTCCCCTAAATCTGAATGAACTGATTTTAACTTGAACAGAACCTGTAGATGGAACCCCGAGACGTGCATCCCTCTGAGGTGAGTCCTCTACCTGAGGATTTATTACCGTGAACACGAGCGTAAATTACAGCAGACTTGGCTCGTAAACACTCACTTTGGGAGCCGTAACAGTTTGAACAATTAACTTTTATTGAGCTGCATCTGTCTCTCTCTCTGCTCCACTTTGTAGCTGCAGCTCGCCCGTCTGTGTCAGCAGAACTAAGCTAATAATAATTATCTTTAATTCTCCCAACCGTGCGCTTGTATGTCTGCCCTTTCTACCTCCGGCTTTCCCTCTCCTTCTCACACACACACACACACACACACACACAAACTGGAAATGCCCCAAATACTAAAAGCAAAACACAACGAAGCCTTTTTTTTTTTTTTTATCAGCAGGAAGCAAAAACGTCCACTTCTAACCGTAAAAATATGCTAAAGTAGTGAAACTGCTGCCTCTGCATCCATAAACGTCCACGCCTCTCCTCTACAGTAAAACACACACACACACACACACACACACACACACACACACACACACACACACAGAGCATACATCGTGTAAAAAAAAGCTGCAGTATTTTGGAGTTAGAGTTGTGGGGAGAGTGCTCTGATTCTGGCACAGGAAATGGGACAATTACATAAAGACTAATAAAACCCGGTGGGCAGATTATCAGCAGCGAACACAAAGGGTTAGAGAAACAGCAGAAGAAGAGTTTACAGCTCATATAGTTGGACGTAAATGTGAAATTAGATTTATTTTTTTTAATATTGTGTGTTTATTTTTAGAACTCTGCATGCTCAGAGAGAAAAACACAGAAATCCTTCAGTTAGAGAAAGGGAAGCATCTTTTATTTAAACAGTCTCACGGGCAGTTTTTACACCTGATTATAAATCAAAAGGCAGAGTTGGTCATTTCCTCCAGATCCACTTTTTTAAAGATTCTGGTTGAAGTTGTTTTAGGTCCTGACAGAAATGAATAACTCATGTTCTCTTAAAAAGAAAACAAAGAAAATCCATCATCTGTTATCAGCTGTAAGAATGTAAAAACTTCCACCAATGTCTGCCACGAGGTACCAATCTGATGAACCAATCACACGCCTCTCTGTCTCCTGCTCGCTCTCTACCTCTTGCGCGTCACCGATGACGGAGTTTATTCTGAGTTTGCCGTTGTGAGTAGTGAAAAAGGTTTAAAAGTAAGGCTGTGCGTCTTCACTAGTCCCGTGATTTAACTCCATTATGATCGTCCTGCATCGCACTGCACAACGTTTTCCTCAAAGAAGACGAGTCGTTGGATAAATATGAACTCCAGTAGAAAGTTTTTTTGAGAAGTCAAAGTCAACATAAACATCTTTACTTCATAAACTTAAATTAAAAGACTTTAATGGTTCAGGTGCGGCTGAAAAAACTCCCAAGCAACAATCGATTCATTTAAAAAGACAGTTTAAAAAGTCTGTGTGGAAATACATTTTAAAAGAGAATTATCAGAAGTCAATTAGATTTATTTTAGAGATGCACGTTTTGATGATTTTATTCATCAGTTTTCTGGATCTGAATGAAAACATTTTGAGGAGTTAATGACTCTTCATCGTTCAGGGGTCGATTCAAAGCTACGAGCAGAACTTGTTCTTTCACGCTTCACTATAATAAACACAGAGTAGAAAAAGACAAAGTCGCTCGTTGGCCGAGTTTCTTTGTCGTTAATCAGAAATCACACTTCAGAAAATGTCATGCAAAGACTCGTATGTGAAACTTTAAAGTTACTTACGTGTTTACCGGTGTGTTGCAGAGAGTCTCTGAGGAGAAAAGTTCTCTCTCTCTCTGTGTGTGTGTTTCTCTTGTTTCCTGTGTGTCTCCCTCATGCACCTCCCCTCACCCCTCACCCCCTGCTTTTGTCTCCCAAACCAGTTCATTCTGGTCACATTAGCCCCGTTCACCCCTCGCCCTCAAACACACACACACACACACACACACACACACACACACACACACACACAGTGAATCATGTACAGCAGGTCAGACAGTGGTAACATTTTCCACAAACTCTCGTCTACATCTTCACTTTCTGTCGATTTGAAGATCCACATCAGCAAACGCTTAAAAACACAGTCGCACCGCGGCGAGGAGAATCCCCTTTTCAGCTTTTGTTGTCTCTTTGATCGTTGTGTATTCTGTCTTATCGCTGCAGACTGAATCTATTCACGCCTCGGCTTTCATCTTATACCCATAATTTGGAAGTCGATCTACATCAAGGGGGAGCAGAGGCAGAAAACACAGCAGGAAAAACAGCAGAGAGAATAACAGTTTTTGAAGCTGTAATATGTCAGAGAAGCTTTGATGGTATTTAAAACAGGCCAAGAGGCATGATGGGAGAGTTTCTTTGAGGTCAGAGCTGCAACTGCTCACACTTCATTTCCAAAATGTCCTCAAACTCAAACGGCCGCAGAGGCAGAGATCCTCGTCTGCAGAGGAGGACACTTCAAAAAGTCTGTTTGACTCTAAATGGGACGATAGATGAACATCATGCTGGGTTAAAGAAGATTTGAAATTAGAGATCGAGACCATGACGTCGTTTGGAAGAGAGTCAGAAACCGACGCTGCAACAGGCTTCAACCTTAACCTCGCTGCACGCCATCAGGAGAAGTCGTACTTGTTAGGGGGCGATATGGACCAAAACTCACATCTTGATGTTGTTTATCTGAATGGCGATACTCGATATGTATCGATATGTATTTTATTAACAGTGAAAACACATGGAAAAATAAATAAACCACCTGTTTGTGAATTTAAAAAGTAATATTATAAAATAAAAATGTTCCTTAAACACAATAAGAGAGAGAGAGAGAGAGAGGAGCAGACAGTCAGTCATCATCAGTGAGATGAGAAAAGGTGACCTGGCACCTCTGTAACATTATTTTAATGCAACATAAACTATATACATGTTAATGATATTGTCTTACTCTATATCTTGTTTGAAAATATATGGATATATCTTAAAAACTTCATATATTGCCCAGCCTTAGTACTTGTTACTGTAGATGTTCTTCTGCTGCTCTGTTGATAAAACAGCTCGATTAAGCTTTATAAATGAGCGTAACGACGTCTGGCAGGGTGTCACCCTCCTGATCAAAGATCCAGAAACAACCTCCGATCTGCAGCTTTCATGATTCATGAGGAATCAGCGTCAACGAGAGAATGAAGAGAGATTTCACAGCAGCGGCGGCGGCAGCGTGCATCGAATCTCCTCCTCTCTTTTCTGTGCATCTCGCTCGGCCTCTAAAGACACATTACACATGAGCTAAGTGTGTCAAATGTGCGTTGATCTCCGAGTGTCACAGTGTGAATGAGATTAAGCTCCATTGATCCACATTTTCTGCTCTCAGAGGAAAGCGCAGCCAGAGAGTGTTTGCATGTATTTTGATAAAATGTGGACATATCTACAGTCAGATGTAACTGGAGACTCCTTTACGCTCTGAGTTTCTTTGGATAGTTTTCTGTTATGTGGTAGGAAGGCGAGCGTTTGGACGTGTTTAAAGGAAGGATGTGTGAATACCTACGACCTTAGTGATGATGGTTTTGTTCTGTGAGAGGAGTCGTGTTTGGAGAGACTCTGTGAACTTCTCCCTCTGAGCAGAATCGTTTTAAATATCGCTCTCCAAGAACAGAAACAGATTTTCTTATTGATCGCTGACAGGCTGCTGTATCCTCTGTCACACACACACACACACACACACACACACACACACACACACAGGGTGATATTTGAAGGTCTCTCTTCAGATCAAACATATCGATCAGTTTATTTTCCGTGGACTTTAATGAGGCCTGCTCTGTTTTCTGACGATAAGTCAAGTCAGCTCGGTCTGTCTTTGATTGATTCTCAATAAACGTCGTCCTGTTTAGTCAAACCCTAACTCTATAAACACAGCTGGTGAAGAACGATCGAGGAAAAACCTTTAAAATCTGGATAATTATATATTAATGATGACAAATTAACGCTGTTCAGAAAGGTCTGATTGATTCCTCTGCTGGGACTGACTCATCATGAGGCAACGACTCAATTAATGGTGATTTAACTTTGTGATAAATAAAGAAGCAAACATCACATTCAACCTCAAGCTGAAGGCGGGAAACCGTTACATCCCGCCCACCTGTCAATCATGTCAGCTACGCGCCCAACCAGCCTGTAATCATGTTAATTTATTTGTATTTATTTATTTGTGTATATATGACCTCCAGTGTTCCTGCAGCCAGCCTCTAGTGGACACTCGATGAACTGCAGGATTTTACACTACAGTGTGTAGGGTCTTTGGTTGGTAACAGTAAGGCCGCTGGTTCAAGTCCCACAAGCGGACCAAATGTGGAACATAGTCTGGAAGCTGGAGAAGTGCTAGTTCCCCCCCCCACCTCCAATTTAAATTTCATCACAGTAACTGTTGTATTATTTTGACACTTTTCTTAAAAACCAGAAAATAACATCCAGCCAGCCGGAGGTTCTTTTTTAAAAAGACGAGATGTAACCTGCTGCAGAACATGCAAACACATGGAGAAGTGAAAACACGGCTCTGAAGCTTAAATCCACAGGGCGACAAAATGAACCGTTTTGTCTGGTTGCCAATTATTTCTGCAGCCGCTGTGCCGCCCGGTTTATATTCTAATAATGACCCGAACAAAGTTTTTAACCTCCACAAACTTCCCCCTTCGATCACTCTCTGAAATAATGTTTTAGTCTCCGTCAAAGCAGCATCCAGGAATCCACAAATGAGCTCTGAGTTCAGAGCACAAGTCTGAACGCTGGCGTCGCCCCGCTCTGCAGAAAACATAAACTCCTGCAGCTTTTCTCACTTCTTCAGATATAAAAATGTTTTTTTTAATGTTTCACATCGGTGTAGGAAAAATCCACAGTCACAAAAATAATCACGTCAACATTTTGGTCAGTTATTAAAAGTTGACTTTACAGAATATAATTAATTTGAAGTCAAATCCCTGCAGAAAAAAAGAGCGGTAGGTGGTGACTTCAGTTTATGTTCAAACTAACTTTGTTTACTTTCATGGGGGAAAAAAATGGACAAAGAGAAATAGAGAATAATAGAAGGGTGTGTTACAATCAACCCTGTGGCTGCAGTAAAACAATGTAACAGGTAAAAGCTCCATGTAGAAAATCCTGTTTCTTCCTCTCACCTCTGCTTCCCCCTCTTTTCACTGCAGGGCTCATCCGAGGCCCCCCCCCCCCCCCGGGTGTCTGAGAGCAGAGCCGGGTCAGAGATGGTGTTTGCTGGCTCGCAGGTGAAGGACACGGTGATGGTGTTATGTAGTGTGAGAATATGATTGAAGTGTGCTGAGTATTTGTGTCTTTCTGAGAATGATCTGTGTTTTTTTGCAGCTTCTGTACCTCCTGGGTTTCCGTAGCTCCGCCTCTCCCTCCGTCACAGAGACGTCTTCTGGCAGGGAGTTGATCCATATTTTTAGATTTACTGTGAAAAAACAAGTTATTTGAAGCCGGGTGTAAACTGTTCGACTACAGCTGACGAGATGTTTGAGTCCTGAGAGGGATTTAGAAATGTCAGGGTGATGCACGACGGCTGATGATCATTTATCTCAGACCGTTGGGATGATTGTAGATCTGATTCTCTGACTTGAAGAATTAGTTTCTGTATTGTGAGAACAGCGGGCATGTCTGTTAAATCTGTTTTCACCCTCTGATCATGAATGAAGTGATGATCTCCAGATGTCTTGTGTTGGTTGGTTGGTTGGGGAGCTGTGCATGAGATACGACGTCACCTTTGTAAGTTTTTCTTTTTGTATTGACAGGTGAGAACGCTCCGTCCTGATGTGATTCAGACAGTGTGACCTCTGGGGTCGTGGTCGACATTCAGCTGGTACAGCGTGAGAACATGAACGGTGAGTTGTTGGTCGTGTATTGCATCATGACTTTTATCTGTTGGTGTTTAGTTTGAAGCTTTGGTGTCAGTTGTTTGTGGAGGTGATTTTGTGAAACGTGAAAGTTGGGATACATTTACAGATTCTGACTTTACAAATTGTCCTCAGAGGAACATTTGGTCCCTGGAACTGTTAGAAGGTAAATGCTATGTGAGAAGTTGTGTTGTTGGGGGGGCTGCATCAGTGAAACGTGTCTCTCCTGGTAGCTTTGAAGCTCTAATCCAACAGACTGTATCAGGTACACAGACCTCATGTGACTCACTGAACTGCAGCTGTGTTTAAATCTCATGTAACCAACTGCTAAAGTCTCCTCTGAAGTCAACACTTGATATGAAAACCTTTTGGAATCAATAAAAGATTTTTAACTTTTGTGTCCTTCTTTGACAAAATACATCACTATGCTTAACTTGCTTGTTAACTTGTTTACCCTAACCCTCTGTGACAAGTCTTACTTTTATCATTCAAGTATTTAGATTTAATTCCTCAGTATTGATGAGCAGATCAGGCTTTGTATCAACCAAATATCTAAGCTAAGTGGACAGAAAAACGGTACAAATAGGTACGAGGACAGGAGCCATGACTAACCAATTTACATATTAGTCAATGGACTTAAATTTACAGGTTTTAAATTTACATTAAAAAGTGTTTGTATATGATGATTTAAATATATGTATATTCTCCTAAGAGAATTGTGACATCATAACATCCTTCATTTTAGAGTTGTTACAGGACGTGACAAAGGAAGGGTATCACACATGAAACAAGGTTTAAAAGGAAGTGAATTTATTATCAAATAATCATAATTATGTAAATCAGTCATGAATACAATGTATGGATGAGTGTAGTGTTGGAAAGTGTGAACAAAAGTAAAGCAGTTGGTGGAGGCCTGGGAGAAAGAGAGGGGAGACAAGTTAGACTGGAAGCCACTTAGAAGCAGAGTCCTGATGGACTCAGGTGTACCCAGTTGGACTAATGGCCTTCCTGACTCCGCCTACTTTCTGCCAAGTCAGGAAGCCAAACAAATGCAGGACGTCACCCCCCAATAAATCATTTATTTAACAAATATTTAAAAAAAAATCTTAGACTTGAACAAAACTACACACAGATCCAGCTGGAGAAAGAAAGTCTGCATCTGTCTCTGTGGCTCAGGAGATAGAAGGAGGACTTGGAGTCTGGAGGTTGTGGGTTCAAATCTTATCAGGACTCAGTGAATTTTAAAGTCCAACATCTGAAATGATGAAGATAAATACGCCCGGAGCTCATTTCATAGTGTGAAGGGATTGGTAGTGTAGTGGATAAGATTGCGGTTTCCAAGCTCTGTAGATGGTCAAGCCTGGGTTCGAATCCCACTGTGTCTGGTGATGGAGGGTTTGAAGCTTGTCTTAAATTTTAAAGTCAAAATCTAAAATGACGATGATAAATACGCCCGGAACACTTCTCCAAGTGTGCAAGGGGCCAGTGGCCAAGTGGGATCATCCTTGCATCTGCAACAGGTACACACTGGTTCAAGTCCAGCTTCCAGCAGGTGTGGAACTGCTAGGGGGGCAAAGTTCCCCTTTACTCCTGTTGAGTGTTGGTTTGCTTACTGTAACTGCCCTTCTGATCTAATGACTTACTTTAATAAATAATAATAGAATGACTTAATTGATCCCAAACTGAGAAATTGTGGCATTACAGCACTAACAATATATACAACAATATGAGTAAAAAACACAATATTAACAAATCTAAACACAATATAATATTAAATACAAAGTAAATAAGTAGTAAAAATATCAAAACTAAGAATGTGAATATATACAACCAGGATTTAACTTAGCATTACTAGACTTAAATAGAAAGATTAAATGTAAATGTGCAAAAACAGAATAGTAAATGGACAGTGCTCAAAGGAGCTTAAGTAAAATATGGAGCATCAGTGAAGTCAGCGGAGACATTTTTGATATATGTTAACACCAAGAACACAACTCTCCTCTCTGTAGGTCATTGAGGGAACAGGAAGTTATAAAGGAAACAGGAAGTTATAAAGGAAACAGGAAGTTGAGGGTTCTTTCTTTGATCTGCCCACAGCAGGCAGCAACAGCAATGTAAGTTCCTTTACTGAAGTTAAGGTTTAGCATTAGCATGTAGCTTAGCATTAGCATTGTTATAATGTGTTATGTATTGCATCTGATGTAGCTTACCATGTGGCTTAGCATGTAGGTTAGCATTAGCATGTAGGTTAGCATTAGCAAGAACTTGTATTAGTTTATTGTTATGTCTTGTAGTTTTCAGTCCTTATTCAATGTGGTGAATATGTGGCAGACCATCTCTTTGCTCCCTTCAGGTGCAGCTCCTGCAATTGAAAGACAATGTTTAGATTTAGTTTGGACCAACAAAGACAATCGTCATAGCAAAGCATGCACAGGTGAGTATGTAGAAATGAGGTGCACAGGTGTGGGATCATCTATCTGTAGAGAGAGAGAGAATGTTAAAAATGTTTGATTTGCATTTAAATTGGGGAATTCAGTAAAAATAAAAACTGTTAAAAAATAAAATATTTTATAATATTTAAAAATATATTAGAAATGATTAATATTATAAATATTTATTAATAAATAAAATAAGAAGTTTGTTCAAGCTGTTTCAATCGTCTTCTTTCTGTTTAAAGCCTTGTGTTAAGAAATAAAAACATGTGTTACCACTGTTTGTGTATATATGTGTGTGTGTATGTGTGTTTATATATGTGTGTGTGTGTGTGTGTGTATGTGTTTATATATGTGTGTGTGTGTATGTATATGTGTGTGTTATTAAACTCTGCTAATCCAACATCACCAAACAGACAAAGTTACTGTGACACTGAAGATGCAGAGGATTAAAATACCTCATTCAGTACAGCTGCAGATAGACGACAGATACGGTAGCTACATGCTAATGCTAAGCTACATGCTAATGCTAAACCACATGCTAATGCTAAACCACATGTTAATGCTAAACCACATGCTAATGCTAAACCACGTGTTAATGCTAAACCACGTGTTAATGCTAAACCACGTGTTAATGCTAAACCACGTGTTAATGCTAAACCACGTGTTAATGCTAAACCACATGCTAATGCTAAACCACATGTTAATGCTAAACCACATGCTAATGCTAAACCACATGTTAATACTAAACCACATGGTATGCTACATCAGATGGCAAGAAATAACAATGCTAAGCTACATGCTAACACTAAACCTTAACTTCAGTAGAGGAACTTACATTGCTGTTGCTGCCTGCTGTGGGCAGCCTTGAAGATTAAAGAAAGAACCCTCCACTTCCTGTTTCCTTTATAACTTCCTGTTGCTAAATCCAGAGCACTTCCTGTTGCACTCCAGAGCACTTCCTGTTGCACACCAGAGCACTTCCTGTTGATAAATCCAGAGCTACAGATTCAGAGATATAAGAAAACAGACAGGTGATCATTCAAACAAATGCTTTGATTCCGTCTGGTTGTGTTGGATGGATGTTTGTAGGAACTCATTTTGTCGATCTTTTACTGATTGAACTGGACTTTGATCCATTTGAACTTTTGTGATCTGTTGGTTTGGTGACCTCAGCATCGTTAACAAAGGCAGAGAAATACAGTTATTGTTTTTTCTGGAACACCCTCATGTCTCCTTGAGACTCCTTGAAGGTCTCAGTCTGAGACTAGAAGGCAACATGACACTTTAAATGATGTTCCAGTCCTATAATAATAATAGTTTCTGATTGTAAATGAATGAGCTCGTCCATCTTCCTCTGCTCTGAGTTTTGTGGAGATGTATAAACAGATTACAGACAATACAAAGTGTGTTTGTGTCCTCACCTTGATGTCCTTGTCTCCTTCATGTCCTCGTCTCCTTCATGTCCTCGTCTCCTTCATGTCTCCTTGTCATTGGCCTGAATGTTTGTGTGGGCGTCGGCCTGTGTGCTCTGCAGTTCACCAGAGACTTGACCTCAGACTTGACCTTGCTGACGGTGGACTCCTCCTTTGACTCCTCCGTTCCCCTTTGACTCTGAGGATGAGTGTGTATAAATGTGTGTGTCCGTTCTCACAGCTGTGATGACATCACTGGTGCCGATGATGGCGCCGATGTCACTGAGGTCTCGTAGCAGCAGGTTGAGGACCTCGAGATGCAGACTTTGAACACTTTCTCCTGAAACATATCTGTACCGTCTTGTGCTGCAGGTTGGTCTGATCGCTCTCCTCCACCTCTTGGCTCTTCTGGTCGTAGTTGACGGCGAGCTCCTCCAGCGCCTGCAGCACCTCCTTCACCTCCTCCTTCAGCTGGTTCTCCGTTTGCAGCCGGCACAGCTCCTCCTGGGAGGGACGTGGGGTCAGAGTGAGTTCATGCAAAAATGATCATCCTTATGAAATCCATGTTTAAATAAGAAAATGACATGAAGTAATAATAATTGAGAAAATGAAAGTATTTTAAGCAGGTTGTCTCCAAACTGTGCTTCTAATGTTGTGTCTTGACTTTGTCTTTAGTCTATTCTTGTCATCCAGCTGTTTGTACAGGTTGCTGATGTCCTCCTCGTATTTGCTCCGCTCGTTGCAACAATATTATTTGACTTTTCTTTCACAAAGGTAAGAAGTATTTTCAGTTGAAAAAAACAGTTAATTTAAAATGAGTAATGTATCATAATGGCTCATTTACTTTTCACGTATTGTTCAATCCTAGCTGTAAATTAGATGCACACGTTTGAGTGCTCCTAAAGTAAAAGTCTGTGATAGTCCTTTTTAACTTGTAAATGTTTCCTTTTAATTTATGTTTAATCTAAACTAGCTCAATGAGCTGTAAGAAAAAAATAATACAATTAAATTAAAATAAATTCAAACAAATTGACCCATTTCAATTAAATCAATAAAAAGGTTTGTGGTATTTTCATTAAGAAAACCAAACGATAATAAACGAATTAAATTGATTAAAAAGTAAGTTTGAAAAGTAAAATTTAACCTAAGAAGAAAAGGTTTAAGGTAAAAATGCAGCTTTAATATAAATAATTTATCAAACAATGATGTAAGACTCTAATTAAAGTTATAGGTTGAAAATAAATGTATTTTATCGTTTATAAATCACTTTATATAGAGACCTAACTAAATTAAACACAGAAGGCTGGATGAAGAGCTTGTTGTCTTAGTTTACCTGTTGTTTAGTTTTATTTACCTTTTACCTGTTGTTTAGTTTTATTTACCTTTTACCTGTTGTTTAGTTTTATTTACCTTTTACCTGTTGTTTTATTTACCTTTTACCTGTTGTTTAGTTTTATTAACCTTTTACCTGTTGTTTAGTTTTATTAACCTTTTGACTGTTGTTTAGTTTTATTTACCTTTTACCTGTTGTTTAGTTTTATTTACCTTTTGACTGTTGTTTAGTTTTATTAACCTTTTGACTGTTGTTTAGTTTTATTAACCTTTTACCTGTTGTTTAGTTTTATTTACCTTTTACCTGTTGTTTAGTTTTATTTACCTTTTAACTGTTGTTTAGTTTTATTTACCTTTTACCTGTTGTTTAGTTTTATTAACCTTTTGACTGTTGTTTAGTTTTATTTACTTGTTAGCTGTTGTTTAGTTTTATTTAGCTTTTACCTGTTGTTTAGTTTTATTAACCTTTTGACTGTTGTTTAGTTTTATTTACCTTTTACCTGTTGTTTAGTTTTATTAACCTTTTGACTGTTGTTTAGTTTTATTAACCTTTTACCTGTTGTTTAGTTTTATTAACCTTTTGACTGTTGTTTAGTTTTATTAACCTTTTACCTGTTGTTTAGTTTTATTTACCTTTTGACTGTTGTTTAGTTTTATTAACCTTTTGACTGTTGTTTAGTTTTATTTACCTTTTACCTGTTGTTTAGTTTTATTTACCTTTTACCTGTTGTTTTATTTACCTTTTAGCTGTTGTTTAGTTTTATTTACTTGTTATCTGTTGTTTAGTTTTATTTACTTGTTAACTGTTGTTTAGTTTTATTTACCTTTTACCTGTTGTTTAGTTTTATTTAGCTTTTACCTGTTGTTTAGTTTTATTTACCTTTTACCTGTTGTTTTATTTACCTTTTAGCTGTTGTTTAGTTTTATTTAGCTTTTACCTGTTGTTTTATTTACTTTTTAGCTGTTGTTTAGTTTTATTTACTTGTTACCTGTTGTTTAGTTTTATTTACCTTTTACCTGTTGTTTAGTTTTATTTACCTTTTAACTGTTGTTTAGTTTTATTTACTTGTTAACTGTTGTTTAGTTTTATTTACCTTTTAACTGTTGTTTAGTTTTATTTACTTGTTAACTGTTGTTTAGTTTTATTTACCTTTTAACTGTTGTTTAGTTTTATTTACCTTTTAACTGTTGTTTAGTTTTATTTACTTGTTAATGTTGTTTAGTTTTATTTACCTTTAACTGTTGTTTAGTTTTATTTACTTGTTAATGTGTTTAGTTTTATTTACTTTTAACTGTTGTTTAGTTTTATTTACTTGTTAACTGTTGTTTAGTTTATTTACCTTTTACCTGTTGTTTAGTTTTATTTACTTGTTAACTGTTGTTTAGTTTTATTTACCTTTTAACTGTTGTTTAGTTTTTTTACCTTTTAACTGTTGTTTAGTTTTATTTACCTTTTAACTGTGTTTAGTTTTATTTACTTGTTAACTGTT